ACCCCCAGAGGTCCCCGACCCTTTCCCCATGACCGGCTCTGCATCCTGAGCCGTTTTTTGACGCTCCCGAGGCCCGGTGAGGGCCCCCGGAGGCCGAAAATTTGGAGAAACCTCCCGTCATGATTTTTTCATTACTCGAGGGGGTCTGGGCTCAAGGCCCCCGAAACTTCCCGGAGGCAGTGAGCCCAGGGGGGGGGGGGCCCTGAGATTCTGGTGGTGGCTTTTGGAGGGGCGCTCTCGCCCGATCTCGGCTCGGAACACGACGCAGAAGGACTCGGCAGCGCTCGGACGTGTGCATTTTCCCCTCGGCGAGGACCATCGAGGAGCATCCTTGATCACGTGGCGAAAAAACCACGCACGACCGAAAAACACACACGGAACGGGCGTCCGAGCGATGGCGAGAGGATGGGTCCGGGCCTCGGGTCGTGACTTCGTACCGGCGCCTCGATTTCTTGTTCCGCGACGTCGGCTCTCCGGGGGAGTGCACTCCCAGAACTGCGCGCGTGTGAAACATCACGGCGGGAGGGTGTTTGGCCGTCCATCGGCCTTCCGGGAGCCCTCGCCGGGCCCCCGGGCCGTCCAAAGGCCATTCGCGAGGAAGCGCCAGCCCTCAGGGAAAGGGTCGGGACGTTCGGGAGCCCCGCATTTGGCGTCGCTCGGACGTGTGCATTCTTCCTCGGCGGGGACCATCGAGGAGCATCCTGGATCATCTGGCGGGCGAAAAAAGCACGCACGAAACCGAAAAATGCACGGACGGGGAATGGACGTCCGAGCGATGGCGAGGCATTGAAAAAATCAAGACGTCGCATGCTTTGGCTGACCCCCTTCACGCCTCCTCTCGCTGTGGAGCGAGGGAAGGTTTCTGGGCTGTTTTCTGGCTTCTGCCTTCACTGGGCACCAGCACCGTCAAAGAAGATCCCGGGAGGCAGAACCAGCCCCGGGGCAAAGATCCAGACCTCCGGGGTCCCAGATGCGAAAAAGACGCGCCGCCTGAGATCTGGGCCCCCTCGCCCCTCGATCGCCGAGGGGGGCCCGACGGGCCATCCCTCCCAGGAGCGCGCGGACTTGCTACCAGAGCCTCTCGCCGATCCACCGCCGCCTCCAGGTCGGCGCTGCCCAGCCCGAGCCAGCCCCCTCCCCCTGGTCGGCCCGCCCGAGGCTGCGGAAGAAGACCCGGTTCCTCCGGAAGCACTCGTGCTTCAAGACCCTTCAAGACCCCGGCGTTCGCGGAGCAGCTGCGCTGCAACCTCCACGGCTGCTTCGGGGAGGGCTTCACCACGTCCCTGCAGGCGGTGGAGGACCTGCTGTCGCACGGCCCCGCGGCCGCCCGGGAGGCGCAGGTCGCCTGGGCGCGGTCCATGCGCCTCTGGCAGCAGTGCCTGCACGGGGACCCCGGGCTGACTCGCTCCCCATGAGCGCCTTGAGGCCTGGCCGTCCCAAAAGCCGTCGAGCCGTCGGCACACGTCCCCTTTCCTCTTCTTCCCCCGCCTCCCCCTGCTTCCTCCACCTCCTCGTCCCTCCTCGCCCCTCCTGCTGCTCCCGTCATGTCTCCCTCCCTCTCTAAATATGTCTCTCTCTCTCTCTCTTTCTCTGTCTCTCTGTCTCTCTCTCTCTCTCTGTCTGTCTCTCCGTAGGAGGAGGAGGAGGAAGAAGAAGAAGAAGCAGAAGCAGAAGCAGAAGCAGAAGCAGAAGCACAAGCAGAAGCAGAAGCAGAAGCAGAAGCAGAAGAAGAAGAGGAGGAGGAGGAGGAGGAGGAGGGGGAGGAGGAGGAGGAGGAGGACTCTCTCTCCCTCCCTCTCTCTCTCGATACACACGTATACTGGCGCACTGGGCCCGAGGGCCCAGGGCGCCCGACCTCTATCACAAATGTGTGGCCCGGGGCCCGGGCAGGGCCTGGGACCGAATTGGGGCCGCCTCGGACCTTCGGGGAACGGAGCCTCCTCGAGTAATGAAAAAATCATGACGGGAGGTTTTTCCTACTTTTCGGCCTCCGGGGGCCCTCGCCGGGCCTCGGGAGCGTCAAAAAACGGCTCAGGATGCCGAGCCGGTCATGGGGAACGGGTCGGGACCTCTGGGGGTCGACGTAATGAAAAAATCATTACGTCGGGGGTCTGGGAACGGAGCCACCTCAAGACGGCCTCCCCACACATCGGGCGCCTCGGAAGAGTCGAGACAGCTCGTCCGGCCTGGAGCGAGGATGCCACAAGCACCGCTCCCGGCCCACCGAGCTGAGGGGCGCAGATCGATACGGCTCTGCGGGTCCCTCGGCACGGAGCTGTTCGCCACCGAGCACCATGAACGGACCAGATCTCGGAGGACAGACGCTTGGCGTCGCTCGGACGTGCGCTTTTTTCTCGGCGAGGACCATCGAGGAGCATCTTTGATCATTTAGCGAAAAATGCACGCGCGAAATCGACAACTGCACGGGGAATGGACGTCCGAGCGATGGCGAGGACGACGAAGCCACCGCACCAGCGGCGGACCGCAGTGCAGCATACGCCAACCAGGGCCAAGGACGGAAACAATTAAGCACGTCAGCAGCATCTCGCTGCACATGTACGACGAGGGTGAGCATCTTCTCGAGCGGTTCCCACGCCAAGACGCCCCCCTCGCGTTGGCCGTTCTTGGTCCCAAGAACGACCACTACAGAGGCCTGGCGACAACCATCCCAGTGCTCAAGCGCGCGCCCGTGCTGCCAAGCCCGTGGCGACCCACGTCGACGGCACCCTCTACTAATTCGGCCGCACCGAAGTGGGGTGCCTCCAAACGTGGCCCGCGTCCAACTAGACCCTGCCCATGACGCGACGCGTGCAAGGGCCAGCCTACGTGCACAGATCCGAAGTCACCGAAGTCTTGTTGGCCTTGTTCACCACGCAGTTTTCTGGTGCAGGCCCCCATCCCCGGTGGTCGTTATGACAGGATAGCAGGTGGTGGCACCGCCACAGCCCAGGACCGCGCCCGTAAACGGAGCGTTGATTCCACGAAAGACGCTAAGCGGCAGATGTTTGACGAAGAATTGGTGAACGCGTTGACGGCGACCTTCCAGAGCCATTTCCGCGCCGCCCAACTACAGGAGCCCTGCAAGATCCTCACCCGACGCAGTTCCTCTGTAGGCGAGCGTCGCTTCATTGTCGCTTTCGGCATTTGCCCCGCCGAAACGGACGCGGTGCTCCAAGCTTCAGGACAAGGGGGGTATACGACCTAAGCGCCATGGGAGCAGAGACCCCACACGCCGACCAAATGGCCATCGTCTGGTATTGGGACGGTCACAGCACCCGTACGGCCGCCCACCAAGTTGCCGTGAGCTCGGGGCGTATGAGCGTTGCTCAGTGTACGACTGAGACAGATGGCCCAATTTGTGGTTGCATCGTGCGTACGTATCGTATCGTGTCCATCCTCTGTGTCGTCGTCGTCGTCGGCATCGACGCGTTCCTTGTTCCATGTCGCGGTCGTCGTTGCCGTCATTGTGGTCGCCGTTGTCTTCGCTATTCTTCCCTTGGATGCCTATCGGGTGTAGCCCCGTGGAGAGTGCCAGGTCCACGTAATCGGGTCCTCGTCGGTGTGTTCGTCGTCGACCGTCTCCACCTCCACACCCACCTCGTCGTCGCCGTCGTTATATGTTTCCTCCTCCCACTCATTTGTGCGTTGCCCTCCTGTCGCGCAAGTGCTGCCCCCTCCGCAGATCTGTACAGTATCGAGGTGGACTGCCAGCAGCTTTGCGATCATGTGCGAAGTATCGTGAATTGGAGCCACCCTGCTAATTCCCCAAGCTGGTATGTGTTGCTGTTTTGTCGGAGCAGTTGCTCGCTTGCGGCGACAGCTCCAACGCCAGCGCAGGCTGTCGAAAGAGAGTGCGCGCTCCCATCCGTAGCACCCTTATCGTGCGCAGGAGCAGGTGTTCGGCCCCGCGCTCAGCCAGGCTAAGCTCCTTGTCGAGCGCTGTGTACGTCAGCGAGGGCTGACGGCGTTTTTTCAGAACTCATCGCGCGGTGGCACTTTCAATTCATGTCAAATGATCTCCTCCTCCCACTCCTTCTCCTCCTCCTCCTCCTCCTCCTCCTCCTCCTCCTCCTCCTCCTCCTGCCCCTCCCCCCCCTCCTCCCCCTCCTCCTCCTCCTCCTCCTCCTCCTCCTCCTCCTCCTCCTACTACTCCTACTCCTCACCCTCACCATCACCATCATCATCAGCATCATCAGCAGCATCATCATCAAGATTATAAGCAGCAGTAGCAGCAGCATCAGTATCGTAATCATCATCATCATCATCATCATCATCATCATCATCAGCAGCAGCAGCAGCAGCAGCATCATCAGCATCATCAGCATCATCATCGTCGTCGTCATCATCATCCTCATCCTCATCCTCATCCCCTTCCCCGTCCACATCCCCATCCCCATCCCCATTCCCATCCCGCATCCTCATCCTCATCCTCATCCTCATCCATCTCCTCCTCCTCCTCCTCCTCCTCCTCCTCACCCCCTGGTCCTCGCGAAGTTCACCGGCCCGCTTGCGCCATCGGCGGCCGAAAATACAACGGCCTGCTATTTGCTACGCCACGGTTTGCGCCGTCGGGGGCCGAATGAGACGGGTTGCTAGCCTGCAAATGTTTGCGCCACGGGCTGCGAAATCGGCGGCCGAAAAAAGTGGCTTGCTGTTGGTTGCGCCATGGGTTGCACCATCGGCGGCCGAAAATGAAACGGCATGCGATTGCTTGCGCCATAGGTTGGTCCATCGGCGGACGGAAACAGGACTTGCTATTGGATGCGCCATGGGTCACACCATCGGCGGCCGACAACAGAACGGCCTGCTACTGGTTGCGCCATGGGCTGCGCCATCGGCGGCCGAAAATAAGACGGCCTGCTATTGGTTGCGCCGTGAATTGCCCGTCGGCAGCCGAAAATGCAACGGCCTGTGATGCGTTGCCCCATGGGTTGCGCCGTCGGCAGCCGAAAGTAGTACCACCTGCTGCTGGTTGCGCCAAGGGATGCGCCACGAGGGTTCGAAGACAGGTTGCGCGAGGACGCTCTCGCGAATCCCACCGCGGGCGGCCGCCCAAGCGGGTCCTAAAGAGGACCTCTTAGAGCTCTCGAGAGCCTCAAGCACCAAGTAGGCCGAACGTGAAGCCTGGCGAGAAGGCTCTCGCGCTGCGTGATCGCAGGCACCCTCGAGGGTCTTCTTGGCCCCACCGTGCTCCAGCCGGCCGGGGACGCCCCACGAGGACTCCTCGGCAGCCCCGAGGGTGCCCGCGGGAGGGCCCAAGCTCAGCCTGCGCGAGAAGCCCCTCGCGAATGATCTGGCCTGGGCGATCTTCCGCGGTCTCTTGGGGCCCTTCTCCTGGGCCCCCCGAGGCAGCCCAGCCGCCCGATGCGGCCCCACACGGGCGTGGGCCTCTTCCCCCGCCGCCGCTGGCTCGTCGGGTGGCGTTGGCCTTCCTTTGGCCCTCTGGGCGGCCGCGGGTGGGATGGGCCATACGCCCCGCGCGCAGGCGAGGTCGTCTTGCCTTCCTCTCCGCAACGGTCTGGGCTCTGTTTTCGGACGGCCCCTTTGCACCCCTGAGGTCCGACGCCGCGGGAAGGATGGAGCATCGGCGCAGAGGACGACCCGAGCTTTGCCCGCCCCCGTCTTTCTGCGCCCTTTTTCGAGCTGGCTCGATCTGCGAGGGTCCCGGGGCCCGAAACTGGGCGAAAACGCCCAGTGCGGGAAAAAAAATGCAACGTCGGCCCAGATTAGTAGGTCGACCCTGCCAAACCAAGGGTCTCCTTGTGTCCCGTGTCTCGCGACCCATGCTTCCTGCATTCCTGCGGCAACGTGGCCCTCGGAAGGGTCTTGCGTCCTCTCGCGCGTGTCCTACCCAATCGAGTCCGACTGCAACGCCAGCACCTCCCGCCCCAAGCCCGCCCCAGCGCGTCCGCGCGCCCTCCGCCCGCCCGCCCGCCCCAGCGCGCCCGCGCGCCCTCCGCCCCCGCGCGTCCGCGCGCCCGCGCGCCCTCCGCCCCCGCGCGTCCGCGCGTCGCGCGTCGCTCGTCCCAGCGCGCCCGCGCGTCGCGCGTCGCGCGCCGCGCGTCGCCCCCAGCCGCCCGCGCGCCCGCGCGCCCTCCGCCCCAGCGCGTCCGCGTCGCGCCTCGCTCGTCCCAGCGCGCCCGCGCGTCGCGCGTCGCGCGCCGCGCGCGTTCGCGCGCCGCGCGTCGCCCGCCCCCGCGCGTCCGCGCGCCCTCCGCCCCCGCGCCGTCCGCGCGCCCCCGCGCGTCGCGCGTCCGCGCGTCGCTCGCTCGCCCGCCCGCCCCCCGCGCGCCCGCGCGCGCCCCCCGCGCGGCTCCCGCCCCCCGCCGCCTCGGCAGCGGAGCGCCGCCCCCGCGCGCCGACCTAGCCCCCGCGGTTGGCCGCCCCGCGTCCCCTCCCCGCGGCGGCGACGACGACCAACGGCGACGACGACGACGACGACGGCGACGACGACGACGACGACGGCGACGACGACGACCTCGACGTCGACGTCGACGAGGACCAACGACGGCGACGACGACGACGACGACGACGACCTCGACGTCGACGACGAGGAGGACGGCGGCGGCGGCGGCGTTGGCGGCGTTTCCCCACGACTTCCCACCCGGCCCCCCGGCTTGCCGTTTGCGACGGCTCCTCCGACCCACCTCCTCGGCCGCCCGAGCTCCCGACTCGAGCCTGCGCGGGTCCCAAGGCCGGAGCGCGGCACACGGGGAGGCAGCCAGACGTCGACGCTTGGCATCGCTCGGACGTGTGCATTTTTCCTTCGGCGAGGGCCATCGAGGAGCATCCTTGATCATTTGGCGAAACATCCACGCACCGAGGACGTGCTCCGCGGCAGTGCGGGAAGCCCTCCCCAGGGAGGACAAGCAGGGGCACCTCGCCGAGGTCCGAGGACATGGCTCCACGCGGCGAGGTAGAAGCCCCCGATCCGCGGGCGACGCGGAAGCAGAGCAGGTGCAACGGGCGCGCCTCGAAGAGCTGGCGTGCAGGTCGCGTGGGAGGAGATCCCGTTCGCGGACCCGCTGAGCCGGGCCCGCCCCCCTGTCGTCCTCGAGGCCGGGGGACTGCAGAGCACCCCCGGTGTTCTCGAGGATTCTCTACGTTCTTTGCCCCTTCTCTTCATCATGATCCTTACCGTTTCTCTGTCTCTCTCTCTCTCTTTCTCCCTTCTCTTGTTTCTCTCTCTCTCTCTGTCTCGATGTGTCCCCTCCCATCCCTCCTCATCCCGCATCCCTCCCTCAACATCACCATCTCTACCACCATCATTACGACCATCATCATCATCATCATCATCATCATCATCATCATCATCATCATCATCATCATCATCATCATCATCATCATCATCATCATCATCATCATCATCATCATCGAATCATCATCGAATCATCATCATCATCATCATCATCATCATCATCATCATCATCATCATCATCATCATCATCATCATCATCATCATCATCATCATCATCATCATCATCGAATCATCATCGAATCATCATCGACTCATCATCATCATCATCATCATCATCATCAGCAGCAGCAGCAAAATCAGGGTCATCATCATAACCGACGTCAGCATCATCCTCATCATCAGCAGCATCATAATCAGCACCATCATCATCATCATCATCATCATCATCATCATCATCATCATCATCATCATCATCATCATCATCATCATCATTATCATTATCATTATCATTATCATTATCATCATCATCAGCATCATCATCATCATCATCATCATCATCATCATAATGATCATCAGCAGCATCAGCAGCAGCATCATCATCGTCATCATCGTCATCATCATCGTCATCATCATCGTCATCCATCAGCATCAGTCTGTTCTAGAACGTACTGCCCGTCTGCACCTTCCGTGGCCCTCGTTTGGCTCAGCCCAAATTCCGCCCAAGCTTAATTCGCCATCGGCCCATGTCAGCTGCGGCGCAGGCGATGATCAAGGCCGTCGCATGGTTCGCAGAGGGTGGTCTGAACAGCGGTGTTGTCTCCGAGGCGGGCTCCTGCGCCATCGCCATCCAGGTGTTCGGCGGCGGGCGCATCGCAGTCGGGGCCGTGTTCATAGTGGGATTGCTGATCGGGCATATCGTTGGTGCCCATGGCGGATGCCGTCGCATGGGTAATCGGGTGTCGCGTCGAGATTCAGTGGAGCGCAGGCGGGACGTGGCAAGCTCGTATCACTGGGGGGTTCGCCACAGCGCTGGAGCACGAGACAATGATGGGGACAGCTGCCCCAGCAGGAGCGGAGGAGAGCAACGAGTTGCTCTAGCTGCTCACGCCAGACGGCGACATGCATCCACACGCAAGTCGCACTGACATGCTGAGGAGCGCAGTGAGAGTCTACCGAGGGTGGAGGGAGCGCGCGGCAGTGGTTGGCACGGGCCCAGGCGCGAACGCGCGGACCTCCGGCGGCGACCGGATGCCCGAGCCGCGGGAGTTCCTAGAGGCGGTCGCGGTCGCGTCGGCTCGATCCTTCGACGAGGTGACGAAGGCCCTCAGGCGGCCGCTGACGGAGACGGTGGCAGCCTCGGCCTCGGATTCGGTTCGGATCCCGCCTGAACGGGGAAGCGTGCCCACGCTGCCCGCTCCTGCCCGATCCTGACGACGCAGCGAGCAGAGTGGCTCCGCGCAGCTCCCGAACCTCAAGGTGGATTGCGGCATCGTCGCCGATGGGTTTCGTGCGGGTGGGGGGCGGCATCGTTCTCGTCCAGTACGGCAGCTCGGACTCGGCGCTCTGCGCGCGAGTGCTTCAATCACGGGGGCGGCGGGGGACGGGCGCCACCGCGGGCTCAGAGAGGGCGCGAAGCAGCTCACCGAGACGACGTGGCCGTCTTGGCCGTTGCTGGGCCCACGGGCGGCGCGTTGGGTGCGCAGGTTCATCAGGGATTAGGACGTCGCGCCCAGCTCGCTTCAACGCTGAGGCGGGCTTGACGGCGACGTGCCCTCGTGTTGATTTCCACGAGTTCTGTCTTCGCTTGCTGCAAGCTGGGGCTTAGTTTTGACCAGATGAACGTCTCAAAGTTTGCGATATTTGAATAGGTCT